CGATGATAATTACTTTATTAGCTATCTATTATATACAGAATTATATAGGTTCCTAAGCAATTTAATTTATAAGTTATTTCTGCCAATAATAATATATTAGGCTAATATAATTTAAAAGAATACAATTATAGAAATAGATAACATTTTCATAAAAATTGTGCACCAATTACCAAAAATTAAGGCAAAAATTGAAATAAACATTTACTTTATTCAAATGTTTTATTTAATTTGCATGTAAGAATATAAAAGAAGTAAACATATGAATTTGAGTACCTAACTGTACAGTATTTAATAAGTACCTATAATTTTTATGAGTTGGTACCCAGCTATTAAAAATATTAGTCATTCTTTTATTATTTAATTACTTATATGAGTTATGACAATCCAGATAAGAATATAATAAGGTATAAAATTGATAAAAATTGTATTATTAATGACTAAAATATCAACTAAGTAGTACCTGAATTATTATACATCATAAAAATAATAATAACTTACTTCAAATTTTCTTTTTGTTTAAGTAATGTGTCATTAAAAAAATTATCACTTTTCACCCACAATAATAACTTTTATAAAAAATGGTTCAATTGAAATTAACTTTTAAATTTAGTTAATATTATGTACCATGTAGGTAATTATAATTTATAATATTGAATGAACAAATTATTTATAGATTGATGTTAATCAATGTATTTTTAGTTGATAGAATATATCTATATTATAATATAGCCACTAATATCTGGATTGAAATGTTTAATAATATTATGTTTTTTAGTTAGGTGTACAATAACCAATAACAAATATTAAATTAAATAAGTTCTCAATTTGTAAATTGTAAATTGAAATTATGTAGGTACCTATGAATGTTTAATGCGATAATTATTGCAATATGTAAACCTTACAAATGTTTAAAATAAAATAACAATTGGAAAACACATGTCTTATGAATATCCCATGAATATCTATTATATCTATATCTATTATATATTGAATATCTATTCAACACATTATATTTAACATAATTTAAGCATACATTAAATTGCACCTATACAGTATAGTAACTTTAAATTACATATTATACAAGTCTAAATCTGTTTAGACTAGGGCCAGGTAACCATTGTTTACTTCAGAGAACATGGATCTATTTATTTTGGTCAAACAACACTTATATGCTCTTAAATATTAAAATAGGTACAAGAAATACTAGACAAAGTATTCCAAGTTCTAAAATATTTTGACTGAACTAAAGTCAATTAGTGTTCATGATTATAAAAGAATGTTTTATCTAGTATTAGTTATTCTTGAGTTCTTATGTAATATAGGCACATAAAGGCATTTGTCCTAATCATCATTGCTAACCTTTCATTCATTAAATAACTAGATAACTTATCTAAGTATTATTTACTTTAATGCTGGATACCTAGTTAATTTTTAACAATTTTAATTTAGCAGGTGTTTTCAGATCTTTTGAAAATAATCTGTTAACTTGTTAATTTATTGCATTTACATTTAAAGGTTAATTATGTTATTTTATCTTTTCATCTTTTATTTGGCTGATTCAGATGTTAATAAAAAATTTTATGAACACATTGGGTTCATTAAATATGATATACGTACCTCATTTAAACTAAATTACCAACGACTCATGCATACCTAACGCATTAAGTCCATACGTGGACTTAAAGTGTTCTGCTTCTTTAGGAAACTATTGAATGAACTTAGTTCAATTTTTAATTTGCTTATTTAACATCTTTAAATAATATTGGGACTTAGTTGAATAATATAGCATATGTAGATATTTTTTAAATAAAATAATAATAAACCAGAAAAATGATTTTTGGACTTTGTGTTTTGCATGAAAATTTTCTATGTTCAATAAAGTATTGAGTTAGGTATTTAAGTTTATTTTTAATTGATTTTGGTTATGCTTAATTATACTTATTTACAATAGTAATTTTACTTATTTACAATTCATATTTAAAATTTTTTTAATACAATTAAATAATTTTTGATTTCTTTTCCAGATATGTACCAACTAGATTATGGGGATTCAGTGGTCATGTTCAAACTATTTTGTACAGTGTTTTTGGTAGAGTGAGATGCCCATGTCCTAAGGGAGACAGAAGATTCTTAATTCTCGACGATGGAACTACTCTTACATATGATCTGTTTAAGCCAACTTTGAATGAACCAGAACTAGGTGATTGAATTGTTTTTAAAATATTGCTTTTAATTTATTATAGTTAAAATTAAACTATGTATTACAGAAATTAAAACATGTTATGATTATTTTAGAGGGCATTACTGTAGTTATAGTTCCTGGAATTTGCAACTCTTCAGAGAGTGATTATATTCGAACATTTGTTAATTATACTCAAAACCATGCTATAGATGTGCAGTCCTTAACCATGTGGGAGCATTGCATAATGTACCTGTTACCGCTTCTAGAATATTCACATATGGTAAAAATATTTAAATACTTATAATTATTGTCTTAAAAAAATGCTGATACATAAGCACAATTAATAATGTATTGAAATTATTGATTTCAATATTTTCAATAAATAAATTATAAATGATGCCTTACTATTTATAATTTTAATGTTAGGAAACACAAAACTTCATCCATAAACAATAAAAATAATATATCTTGTTTTTTGTTAGTAATTTAATAATAATTATTTATACAATTTTAATAGGTACATACAGTGGCGTAGCCAGGATTACCGAGGGGGGGGGGGTTAATGACTTTTTATTTTTGCTCAACTCTAAATATATTGCTCAGGAGTGGTAAAACTAAATGCGGCTAAAATGTACCGAGTTTATACGCTTATATACGCTTATTTAGTAATACATTTTTTTTTTATTAACTGAAGGTGAATAATAATTATATTTATTTATGTTAATATTAAACACGCAGTACATACTTATTGACTTATTATTATAAACAAGTAAAAATAGAAAATAAAAACAAATTTAAATTGTAATATTTATATTAAAGTTAATATATTTTTTCACATTATAAATTACAAGCTATAGCAATCTTATTTTTCTTGAGTCTTTTGCAAAGTCATTAAGAACTTCATCTGTTGTTAAAATAATTTCACGATGAATATTTAGTAGTGCTAAACTATTTAATCTGTTTTCTCCAATAGTATTTCTAAGGTATGTCTTAATGTCTTTTAACGTAGAAAATGACCTTTCACTGCTTGCTGTAGTTACGGGAAGTGTAGCTATTATTTGGAGAAGTTTATAAGTAGATGGTAAAATGAGTGGGTTACATGCTATAAGAGCTTCTAATGCATTTTTTGGTTTTTCTGTTCCAACAAATTTTTGTGTCCATGTCAATACTTCTCCAATTACTGAATCTGAACTACATTGAAGATCTTCACTATACTTTTCTGCCAAACTTTTTATGTTTTCTTCTCTATTTGGCAAATTATTGTTTGGTAAGAGACAGCAAAAATTGGTAATTAGAGATTTATGTGCAATGAACATATCATGAAGTTGACTAATAAAATTATCTAAAAATGGAATAAACAATGATATTTTATAGTATTCATTTGGACAAGTAGTTTTTACATTAAACCGATTTTTTTTGTATGTTTGTTAAACGAGGTAAAGTTATTTCAATATCAAGTGACATACATTTTTCTTTCACTTTCAAAAATAGTTTCTTAAAATCCTCATCTGCATTATTTCTGATATTTTTTAACACATCAGATACATTATCTGCCAGAGACATGGCTTCAAATTTCAATCAAATCAATATTTTGCATTTGAAGAAGTTTACTAAGAGGTAAACTTATGCTAAATACTTTTGCTAGCAGATGTGTTGCCAAAATAAATTCAGGTTGCTTAATAGCACACAAAAGTTGATAAGCTCCTGATGACGATTCTCTGTCTGGCCATGTAGAAATAATTGATAATCCATCAATAACTGCATCAAATAATTAATAAAAATATAAATAGAACAATATTACCCGTCGCTGTCGTCGGGTCATACATACACGATACACGCCATAGACATATACATATGTTTATATAATTCTGAGTAGATGTGGGATCGTTCGGTCGTCGGTGCGATAAGCACGCGACGATCACCGAATAGCGTCCCACAGCCGTACATAGAAAATACTAAAATAATATTAAATAATAATAAAAATAAAAGTATTAAAATCATACAATAAAAACATTTTTTTTTTAAGGCCAAGGGGGGGGTTTGAACCCCTAAAACCACCCCCTGGCTACGCCACTGGGTACATACATATATTAAAATAATACATTAATATTAGTGACGGACATAATTGAGATATTTTGTATATTATATCGAATTGAGTAATTTTGTTAAGTAATCTCGTTTATTTTTAAAACTATCAATTCTTGATCTCGAAATGTATAATCGAGAATAAATAATATTGCGAATGATGTTCATGGGAACACTATTTTTGTTAATTTTAACTATCACAATAAAATTAGTAAATTAATTAGTTTTATTTATTAATAAAATTAAAATTAATTAAATAATCAAATTTATTTAAAAATTTGGTTTTGAGTTGATAATTCAATAATTCCCATTACTAATAATTCAATATTTCGATAATTTTGATCGAGTGAACTGTCAATTATGATGTATCTCATATATTAATATGTCAATTGAAAATGTCTAGTGATATCTTGATTATGATAATGTCTCGATTACTAATCATTCCATTATGCCCATCACTAATTAATATTGACATTGTCTTTAAATAAATATTTAATATAATATTATACAGTAATTATATACATGTATAATATCACATAATATATTGACAATTATTACAACAAACTAAGTCTAAAGTTATAGTATTTAGTACAATTTCAATGAAAACTACCTAAGTTATTATGTATATAATGTTAAATGTTAATTTACAGGTCACACAGATGATCTTCATGTAATGCTTTGCAATTTATCAGAACATTATCCAAGTACTAAAATTATAATTATTGGATATAGTATGGGTGGTAACTTGGTTACTAAATACCTTGGAGAATCTCGTCATAATAGACCAAGTAGTGTTATTGCTGGAGTATCCATATGTCAACCATATGATGCGTTGAAGTAAGCAAAATTTATCATATATTATTATTATTTATTTTGGTAATTTTTTGCATTTATATATTATTTAAATTTTATAGTTAATATTTAGTTCAGGTTTTATTTTTTTTTTAGGTACAATGGTATCAATATTAAATATTGGTATTAAAATAACATTGTTTATTAAATTGTTCAATTAAATGTCTAGTTGTAGATTTGGCTGCTTCGCATATATACTAGTCCATAAACTGGATAACATAATATTATTTTTTAAGCACAACAATTTGAAAAAAAATAAATATAATTTTCATTAATTATTTAGGGCTACTGGTGTTTTATTACATTGGCAAAATTTCCGAAGACTTTATTTGTACGCATTAACAGAAGCAATAAAAGCTTTAATTTTAAAACATAGAAGTAAACTATTGGCCGATGACATTAAAGAACAATATTCATTAATTGAAAAAGATATAATATCTGCTGCTACATTACCAGAACTTGATGATGCTTATACCAGGTAAAGTTATAAATACGTTTATAGAATAATTAATTTTATATTTATTTTATGTTGTAATTCTATTATGTATTGTTTTTTGATTTATACTTTTGATAAATTATTAGTTAGTATTTTATTTTAAAATTTTTATAAATATTCTTTTAATAGCTCATTGAAATTTACGTATAGTTATGATTTTTGTGTTTAAGAAATGTATTTTCTTAATAAGTATGCATTACCTACCTTTTTATATTTTTAATTTACTTGAGTTAAAGTTTTTTTAAAAAAAATCTTTTAATGTAATTTCATGTCTTTCAAAAAAAACTTGAATAGAAAATTATATAAGGAAACACAAAAAAAGAAATATATTCATTTTTGGGTGGAAAATGCCTCAAACATAGTTATTTATTTTTGATTTTAACAAAATATAATCATAATCAGGTAATTGATTAATTGCATTTTTGCTTACTGATAAATTACTTAAATTTTAATACTTAATTAGGTGACTAAAGCACTTTTCAATTACCTATTTTTTTGGTCTTTATTTAATAACACTGGAATTATCCACAGTCAACATATTTTACTAATGTATCAGAACCGACTATTTATGGAAATATTTGGCTAATGGCTTATTTAAATTATGATTTCAAAAAGATTCTGGTTATCTAAATTTCTTTTTAATAATAGAAATAAATTGAAACTTTCTTAGTACTTATTTTTTAGTAAATATTGGGATACTCTATATTAAAACAACATTAAAAATATAAACCATTTCAAATGCATATTGTTAATTAATTAGAAGATGGTGATGCAGATGGCTGGTAAGAATCCTGTAACAGTTTTTAAAAAAATTATTCATGGTGCAGACATAGATAGTAAAACCTATTGTATTTAGTGAAATTGCCGTTTTTCCTTTCTTGAAATATAAATACATATATTTGTCCAGCTTTAATCCACTTATTTTGAGAATTTTTTGTTTTATTGTACTCTAAAAATAATACAACTTTCTGTACAATTTCTAATGACAACTCGAACATGCTGAAACAAAAAAAAATATGATGAGTGCAGTAAATTCAGTAAGTTATCAAATGACGAATTTGAAATTGTTATCAGGTATTTCAAGAACTTTTATATTACTACCAATAATTACATTGTATGCAAAACAACATTTAGTTTAAATATAAAGTACCTAATAATTTTTTTTTATTTAGGTATTTTTTTTTTAAATAATAAAAAAAATGTATTATATCATATATAACAAAAATATGTTTGAGTACTTCATTTGGATTACCAACAAGGTAATGATGATTTTAAACTAATAATTCACTGAATATTTCTTTAAATAGTCAAAATAAATAGGTACATCTGGTGTAGTGTATTCATTATTATGGGTGTTCAAATGTTATTAAAATCATAACCAAGAATATTTGCCTTCTCAGCCACTTAATTAAGTATTAAATTTAAACTATTTTAAGTACGCAAAATCATGATTGATAATAAATATAATTAATCAATTAATTATGATTGTATAGTAAGTACATATTTTATTATTGTATGTTAAAATTAAATGTGTTGAAAAACCATGTGTAAAACAACATATAAGGAATACCCAATATAAATATTTTATATTAATGATTAATATTAAATTATATGTATTTTGCTATCTTAAAAAATAGACTGTCATATCACTCACAAAAATGCATTTATAACTTAAAAACTCCAAAATTGCCCTAATAAAATATTTATTTTATATTTATATTAAAGAATATTTATATTTGTGTTATTTATGGTTATATTTCAATCTTGAGCTATTTAATTCGTTGCCATATTACTATAGAGATAGGTAAACAAATGAACTTACAATGTTAAAGGATGCCCCAAACTTTTTTTTATAAAATATTCTTTACTTGAAACACATTTGGAAAGCATTGTGCTAAGTGTAAAAAAAAGACCCAAATATTTAAATATTCTGAGCTTTACTCATCCCATTAGAGATTTATAAAATTTTTAATAATTATTCTGGTTGATTGTCTGAGTATAGAACATGTATTGTATATTACATCAAGATTATTACTTATTATTCTTTAATTGAAGAACATATCATCTTTTATCAAAATCGGAATGTTTTATGTGGCACAGTTTTGTTTTATTTATTAATAAAATAACTGTTCTTATAACTGTTGATACATAAAAAAATGGTCTGCTACTTAACAATGCACCATACTCACAAATCACAATGTGTTTTATTATCACATAAAATTATAATTTTGAATAGATTACTCATATAATTTTATTTGTAAATAGTAAATCTAAATTTTTTTGGGTGTTCCAGCCTTGAGTATTACACAAAAATAAAAATGGTAACTTCTAGTTTCAGACAATTTCTACCATCAAGTTTTCAGGTTACTTCTAAAATTATTTAACTAAACATAAAGTAAAATATACTATATTAAAGGAATTGGTATACAATAAACTATGAGTATTAAAACAAATGGGTAATTTAAATAATGTTAAGTAAAAAAAAAAAGTGGGAAGTGGATGTTGCTCCGCTGTACAGTAGCAGGTTACAATTGGGTCAATGTATAAAGGATTGTATTAAACTTGAATTCAATGATATAATATCATTGTATAAGAAAAACAATTCTGAGAAGGCTTGTCAGTCTGGATATTGGTATTATTTATTATACCCTGTAAGTTGAATTAATATTATAATAGGTATTATTATTTTTTATTCGTTTCTATGGTGAAAGCGTTAGAAATTAAAATCCTATTTTTAGTGGTTTTTCGTAATTTGTCTGTGGTTTTCCCTATGCAATTAAATAAATATTAAGCAAATCGAAAAATTACCTTTTTAAAGTAATCTTTATCTAATTTGGTAAAAATTAATGTACTATATGTTGAAATCGAAGCACTCCTTCTGTTAGATATTTTGTATACAGGATATAAAAAATAAACACCATTGTAAAACCAATAGCTTCCTTGCTCCACTCATAATCTAAAATATATGTGATATTACATAACACCAATCACAAACAGCATAAGCCACATAGTATGAAGAAATAGTTATAATATCAACAGGCTTCACAAAAGTGGAAAACTGAATAAAAAAAAACCAAAAACCTAGGTATACTACTAATTCAAATTAGTGCTGATAGCCTGTTTACATGTTGACAGTTTGTAACTGTCATGAAACTGTCATCATGTACATAATTCTATAGTAGCAATTGTCATGGTACTACGACAATACTATCTCCCTCTAATTTATGATTAATCAACTTTGTACATTCAAATATAACATCTGTTTTGTTTTAGGTAATAGTTTGATATAAATACCAAGGATATTTATAATATTTAAACAAATTGTTTTTGTAAATATATTTAAAAATAAATTTAAAATACCTAAAAGAGATGAAGTGTGGTAATAATTAGACCCAAGACAATAACAATTTTTAATTTAAGGCTTAAACTTGATTTACTATTGAGAATTATTTCAGTTCTATAAATATTTAACTTTAATTAATACATTTTTAAACCCTATTTTTATAGAAAAGTCAATAATTTTAAAAACCTTCATGAGTTTTATCGATGGTCGAGTTGCTTGCATTACATAAACAACGTAAAAACACCAATGATATTTATTAATTCAAGAGATGATCCATTGGTGCCAGAAGATTTATTAATACCTATTCAAAATTTTGCAAGTGAGATAATAATTAATTTTTATTGAATATTATATAAGCTAATCTAATCTAACTTTTTTTCATTGTTCTCTAACATTTAAAAATTTAATATAAATTATATTGTATAGAGTACTATCAGAGGTTTCTAATAAAACTTTTTGAAATGTGTTCTAATATCATTTAATTTATGTTTAATCACATCAAAATTTAAAATTTTAAGAACAAATAACAATTCTATATACAAGTGTAAAAGAAAAAGTTTTAACAAAATATTCATATATCTAGTTTATCTAATTTTAACAATAAAAAAAAACAATTATTCTACTATTAATATTAAATGTATTTAAGTTACACTTCTGATGGAAGCTTGTTTTATTTGCTTGTATTAGCCTTTACATAGATTATAACCTTTATATTTGTTCTGTATTTGTATAACATAGGGCTATGTTATTTTTAACTCAAGTTTTATCTGTAAAATTGTATAGTTTCTTATAAATTATGGTCATTGCATTTCAAAAACTAATTTTGAGTCAGTTATATCCATCTATATTACATTTAAATTTGTATTAATAAATATATTATTGTGATAATATTATGATCATTAACATATTATTTATGCATTTGTTTTAGAATCAAAAGACAACATATTGTATATGGAACTGATGCATGGTGGTCACCTTGGATTCTTTGAAGGCGGATTTATGTATCCTAATCCTATAGCATGGTTGGATCGGACCTTAGTAACATTATTGCCGGGACTCAGAGAACATTGTCTTGATGATATGAAAAAAACAGCAGTTTACTGAGTTCATCCACTATATACAAGTTTATGTATATGTATTTATACTAAACTGTAAATGGGATTTGTATCATTTTATTTTATTACACTACTATTGATGTAATACCTGATCTGTTATAGAATAGATTAAATAGTAGGTAGTTTCAAAAAATTATGTGTTTGAGCATATATTTCTTAAATTTCAAATTGAACCACTTAAAATAAGCAAAAGTAGTGCAATAAACCCTACTATTTATTTAGCTTGTTATTTGAGTATACCTTTTTATTTTTATTAATTATTTAAAAACATCATTGTGAGTTATAACTTATATTTCACCTTAATCCTTCTTCAAATATTTCTAAAATTTGAATTTAAATTTTCACAATATACATGTATCTAAACGCTATTTACGTTTTTCCTTAATTTTTATGTATGTTTGAATGCTTTGAGTTGCACGCAAACTAAAACTTTCTTATTATTTCATTAATATACATAACATTTGTATGTACTGACCAATGTATTGATTTAACATAATAATACATTAGCACTGTACTATAAAATATTATCTTAACCCTTGTACATATTATATATTATATAATATATTCCTATGAAAATTTTGAATGACATTCTAAGTGTTTACAATTAAACTAATGGACTTTTTGCAGATAATCAACTTTTTTTGTTGAACATTTTAATAAAAAATGAAATGTTTTTTCTTGGAAATTATAGTATTTTTTCTGTTAAATTTACTTATTATTTATAAATTATCAACTGCATTTTTTCTAAAAATATCTTTTATAATGAACAATTATTGTCAGTTAAATAAATAAATGTATTCTATTAAATAGATTCTTTTTCAGTACAAACAATGAAAATATGAATAAAATTTGTTATTTTAAACTTAGTGTTGGAAAATAGGTTTTTTGTTGTCATTTATCAACTTGACTACATCAATAATAATTGATATAAAAAAAGACAATAATTTATTATATTACGTTTTTTTTTTAAATTTATATTCTTTAATTATTATTATTATTTTATTTTCATTTATAATTTAGTTTATCTTGTTCAAAATATTTATTAATATATTATTTAGTTATTGTTTTTTTTAAAATTGTTTTATTAATGATAATAATAATAATACAAATATGTTTTATATTCTTTTAGAACTAAATTATAATTTTTTCACTTTTTATTAATTTAATTAATTTGTTCTATCAGAAAGAAAATGAAAGTTTTTTATTCCAAAGACTAATTTTCAGCTAATGAATAGAATTGAAGAAATATACTCTATTCAGGATCATAGCTTACTGGCCGGTCGACAAAAACTGGTCGTGTTAGCACATTCCCACCTATAGATGCACATTGACACATGATTTATGTTGATTGCCACGATTAATGTCCAATGACAAAGCATCTAGTAGTTGCCTAGGGGGTCCCACGGGTTCAGCGGCTCAGTCTGTATGTTCGAAACCGGTATACTTTTAACCTGAATAGAGTATAGTTTAACATCTAATTTTGTCTAATTTTCATACCATTATATAATTTTACATCCTATCTCGTATATTTGATGTTTTCAATAAATATTAATTTAACATAAACACTTAATTTGTTCATTCCAACACAAATATATGGTTTCTCTTAACATGAAAGTTCCTTGATTCATTTATTATAATTTATTTTTTTAATTCAGACCTATTCATTTGTACAACTGACATACATCACCAATAATTCATATAATGCATTTTTGATATTTTAACACATACTTGTGTCTTTTTTATCCTCCCTAAGTATAATTTATGTAGAAGATTTTTGATATTTTCCATTATGATTTTGCCAATGAAATTAATTACAAATATCAAATTAACATTATATGGTTTTTGTATTCTATTTTTTTTTTCAAGTTGGGACCTAAATGATGCGTTAACAAAAATATCATGATATTATTATAGAACTTGCGTATTATACTAGAAAGCTCAACTTTAATGTAACTAATTATGATTTTTGCAAGCCTGATTTGTTACCTCTTTATTAATTTATAAACACCGATAATTGATTGATTATGTTTTGTTTATCATGTTTCAATATCTTGGACTAATGAAAGTTAAATTACATTTGTATGATTACTCATTAAGTTATATATATATATATATTTATGTACCTATATTTTATTTTGTATTTATTTGTTTTATTTTAAATGAAAGTCTATTTATTGTTTATTTTAAGATATTAATATGACTGTATATGCAACTTATTATTTATACATACATTACATACATAACATAAGTACAGGGTACCTAAGAAAGCTAAAAAACTTTTTGAGTGTACAAATAACTAAATGTTTTCAACTATTCTAAAACCCTGTATGTAAACTTAGAATGTTAAAAAAAATAATCTGTTTTAAATATATCTAATGTTACAGTGTACTTATAAAAATGTTTTTTAAGTTTATTTTGAATCAAACATTTTTCCGTGTATATATATATTGTATATTATACACTCCATGTTGGCATATTCCTTATGTAAATAATATATAATTATGTCAAATTAAAATTGTTATATTCATTCCTACAAAAAAAAAAAAAAAAAGAATTAATAATATACAAAAATAACGTTATGCTATATCGATTAGTTGAAATAAAATACTGTTGTTCACAATGTATTTTAATGTAACGGGCTTCTACAACATTACAATACACAAATATATGTACGGTTCATCCAAATTGTATAGTGAATTGGGTAATAATTATTTATAGCCTATTATTGATGCTAAAATATTAGGTACTTTGTACTATATAGGTGAAATTAAAGTACTTTAAGTGGATTAAATACAATATTTAAATACCAATCTAAATTACTTTTTGGTAGTCTGTAACAACTATACATATTATATTCATGCTAGAAATATAAGTATGTTTTGTAACCGATTTACCCATAAGCTCAAATTGGGGGGGGCTTAGCCCCACACCCCCAAAAAAAACTTTTAATAGCCCCGGCTAAATGAATTATTCATCTTGTTCATTTTGTTTCCTAAAATATTAATAAATCTTTAAAAATTTAACCGTATTCCTATTTTTTTTTTTTTTTTTTAAAAAAATGTATAATTATCTACTTTTTATTTAAACTTTACAATTATTTTATATTGCCTATGATAAATATGTTAAATATTAGCTTAACGATTTATGTCGGTATATATAGGTAAGATTATTATACATATATAACACTCAATATGCACTGAACTAAAGTATTGACTATAGAGACAGTGAATTGTGAGCTAAAAATCCCCGAATCTAGGATAAGTAACCCCCAGATTACAATGTCACTGACAACTATGTACATGCAATTGATTGATCAATTCTAGCTAATTAGTGTAATCATCACAATATTAATATTTAATTACAATTATATTATACTTACTAGTAGTATAGTATACCTACTAGTATGTAGGTACTTTTCATTAAAAAAATTAAAATATTATAAATAATTTTCAAAAATTAACAATAATATTATTTTGTTTTATATCACGATTTTAAACAACTTATTATGTGAATGGCCTTTTTAAAAGATAAGGTACCTACTACCTTCATTCATTGATTAATTATTTGATAATTATTTGGATTATTTGACATATCGATCATTAAAAGTATTTTTATTTTATAATCTTTTAAATATTGTATCTATAAGTAAAACTTGTAAAATCAACCTCTAATATTAATAATAATAATAATTATTATTAATATTTATATTTTGCTTATCATCAAAATTTTATTAAGAAATGTAATATTTTATTTTGGGGATATATTATAATACCTATATAATATAAAAAAAATATTATTGTTAATGTCTGAAAATTATAATTTAAATATCAAGAAATAAATTAAATTGTATTCAATATTTAATTTTTCTTTAATATCTACTTAATTTTTAATTTTTAAAATGATATTATATAATATGTATACTGTAAACATATACAATAAGAATGTATTTGTAATTAAATATTAATAATGTGATACTTACAATAATTATAGCGTTTAAAAAATATTTGCTCAATCATTTTCACGTGTTTGTGAGTAATATAAACTAATATTGTAGTGATTTTTATTTTGATTACCACAGATACTATTATTGTGAAAAAAGAAATTTGAGTAAATAAATATATTTATTTTTGTATGATTTTTTTATATTTTTATAGGAATATATATGGCTGTGTGGGGGCATCACACTCACTTTTCATTTAATATCAGGTGGGGGCTACAGCCCCCTCCCCAACATTTTAGCCATAGTTGTGCCACTGGATTTACCATATTTGTGTTATCTACGGCTCTTTTGGCAATCTATTGCTTGCCAACCGTTAATTATAACAATCAAGTGATTAGGTTATAATGCTGATAATAATTGACCACCAACCCCATAGTCTGTAACTAGTACTCCTAATAAAAGGAATATTAATAGAAATATGTTTCAATATTGTGAAGTTTGTGCACCTGTACAGTTGTGGTTAATATGTTTTAGGCGGCTTTGGCGGATGGGTACCTAGGATACTGTAGTATAAATGTATCATTTTAAGCTCTCTTTTGTTGTTTATGTTATATTTCTCTTAAAAGATTTATGACATTTCTACATACCTAACTAATTCTATTTTAACTTATTTTCCATGTAATAAATAAGAATAATATTTTCATTGATTTATTTAGTCTTATAAAAAGGTGGTGTGATAGAAAAAAGTCTTTAAAGAAATTGATTTTCTATATATTATAGGTTAAAAGGGTACCTACTATAGGCATACATTATAGGTTTATTTTATATTAACATGTTGAGCACCATGAAACCCAAAATTGGGTCTCACCCAACTGACGCTCAACGTGTTAATAAATGATTATTAATTAATTCCATAAATGCAACCATATTTATTTTTATTTTCAACCCATTTAATTTTATTTTAGATTCTGAGTGAAACGATGAATGTATTGATTTTACAATGATGTGTGTTTTTTTATTTTTTTATTTTTTTTGTATCTGTGTACACG